AGTTACCAACCAGAAGTATTAAGCAAAAGAGAAGAGAGTGGTGCTTCTCTGCAAGCATACAGGCCAGGAGGCAGCAATGAATGGCTTAGTCAAGAAAAAATTCACAAAACAAATGCTGGCCATCTGCATGTTATCTGCTTTTATTTTTTCTTTTGCTTAATTTATTATTTTGTCTATTCCTAATGAAATATTTTACTCTAAACCTCTTTGCAGTTGGTAAGGTACTTGCAAATCTGTTAGCTCTTTTCATCCCCATAACACCTCCATAAAGGATAGATAAGATATGTCTGGATTTTCAGGTGCTGAAACAGAATCCCACAGAAGAGGGGTCATGTGTCCAAGTTTACATTAATTATAAGCAACGGAGCCAAATTGGACCTCAGGGGCTATCAACTCTTAGTCAGATACTTTTTCAACAACACCTTAATTCCCGAAAAGGAACGCAAATAGGAACAATCTGCTTGGATATTTCTTACTTACTGTAAGCTCCTGTTTCCTAACAATTCATTCCCTTGACTTTTGTTTCTCTATTAAGTATCTAAATTAATAGAAAATGAATGCTCATCCAATTTAACTGAGCCATTAATTTGAAATCTTTATTAAATAAGAGGAAATGAAATGTGCAATTATGTACAAATATTAGAGGAGGCATTGGGAAAACAGCATTGGATACTGTTGTATGAATGCTAAGTCAGCTCCAGGTATCATTTCAAATTCTCTATCCTCATTCTCCCACTGGCCCCAATTTTCTGAACCATTCCTTTATTGAACAATTTTTTATTGATTTTAGAGAGAGAGGCAGGGAGAGAGAGAGAAACATCAATGTAAGAAACACTGATCGGTTGCCTCCCACATGCTCCCTGACTAGAGATCAAACCCACAACCTTTTGGTGTACAGGATGATGCTCCAGCCGACTGAGCCACGTGGCCAGGGCCAGATTAATTTTTGAAGCTGCTTTAAATCATTTTGTAACAATGTGAGATATAAATAAATTAATTTTAAAATGGATTATGTTCACTGTAATCAGTCTTACATAATAATAGGAAAATATTACCTACCCTTCCTGCAGTACATGGGTTTACATTTTTTAACTATGTCTTTTTTTATTTATTTGTAAAGAGTGTCTCTAAGCCAAAATGGTATCATGGGTCTTTTAAAAACAAACTACAGATAGATGTATAGCACTGACCCTATTTGTATTAGTTACCAAGTAAAAGTCATGTATACTACATAAAACAGATCTCATTAATTATAATTGGTTGGGAATCAGGCCTAGTTGAATGTGTGAAAATTGTGAATTAGAGAACAAAGTTTATGGAAAGTTATTTTCTAAATAATGATACTTCTTGTACCTATTCTTATTATGTATCCAAGTTAATTATTACACACACCATATACTCTCAAAGAATGAATATTGTGATACTACCACTCAGGACATGCATACTAATTGTTTATTTTTTGGTGGGAATGGATTGGTGCTTGGAGCAAACATTTTTATTACATGTCTAAGCATAGAAATTTTTAAATTAAATTAACTGGATAAAAATGCACATTTTTTTTTTATAATTTGCTCATGTTATTTTCTTTTAAAGAGAGTTCAGGATATATAGTTTTGGCCTCTATTATTTTTTGCTTTGTTGTTCATTTTTTCAAAAAATGAGTACTCTCTCTTCTTATTTTCATCATTTAGGTATTACTTTTTGAAAAATTGATATAATCATGCATATTTGTTGGGTCATGTTATTTGAAAAATTTACAGTAAAAATTATCAGTCTTTTTTATTTAATTTATTCCATAAAGTAAGAGAAGAGACTCTCAGCCTTGACCTAAAAGTCCTGTCCCTTTTCTTCTTTCATTCTCATCTCCAGGTCATTGCATTTGGTCGCAGAACTTTAAATGCCATCTATGTGTGTCTCCCAAATTTCTATGTCTAGCCCATCCCTTCCCCTAAACCCCAGATCCTTATTCTCAGTTGCTTACTAGGTCTCTCCTTCATTCGGGTGTCTTACAGGCCTCTCCCCCTCTCCCCCTTACCATACAAAGCCACACTCCTGTCTTGCCCCCAGCCGCTTCCTCCTCCAAGTCTCTACACCAGTCAATGGCCACCCCACCCTTGCAGGTGCCTACCCTCCAAGCGTTCAAGTCGTTCTTTCTTCTTTTCCTTCTCCTGCTCCTTCTTCCTCTTTTTCTCTCTCCACCCACAAATTAGCTAATGCTGTCATCTCTATCTTTACTCTCTCCAGGATCCAAACATGTCTCATCAGCTCCCCGTCCTAGTGCAACACTCTGGATCTCTCTTCTAGATGTATCAACAGCCCCTATCTGCTTCCCCTCCTGCTTCCCCGCCACCTACTGTCAACTGAGCAGGCTCGATGACGACAGTTCATGTTAGCCCTCTGCCCGAAACCTCCAGTGGCTCTCCACCCACTTAGATTGAGAGCAGGAGTCCTTATCAGATCCATAAGACTCTACAACATCTGGCCTTGCCTCCTTACTCTCACTGTCACAACCTCACTAGCCTCCTTGCTGCTCCTGACTCAAGATCTTATTTTTTCTTCCTTCTGCTTAGAATGATTTTCTGCAATTCCTTCATCAACTTCAGTTCTATGCTAAAATGTCAGTTTCTCTGTGGTCTGACTCTACTATTTAAATTGCACCCCTTCCCCAGCATTCTCCATTGGCCTTTCTTAGCTTTGTTTTTTTCCATGTGATCCAGGTTGTGGTTTGTTTGTTTGTTTGTTTAATGCCAGGCTTCCCTTATTGTTGTCAGCTTCTAGGAGATAAAGATTCTTGTCTGTTTGGTTTGTAGCTGAATCCCAGCTTCCAGTGCTGGACATTCAGTGAGCATTCACCAAACATTGACGTATTGAATTAAAGGAAAGAATGGGAAAAGGCCAGAGTGGGAAGCACAGTGGTGCTAAAGTAGAGGGTGTATGAGGATGACTGCTACTGGAGAAAATAGGAAATACAGATTGAGATGAGCAAGCAAGTTGGAGGACTTCAGCTATAGGGATAAAGGGTTTTTGAGCAAGTGAGTGACTTGATCAGAGCATTCCAACAACCATACAGAGAAAAAATTTGTTGCATGTGTTGTAGGAAATAGTACCCAGGTTAGCAAGTTGTTGTACCAAAGACCCATCATGGATGTGTCTTTTTTCCCATTAAATCATAAAACTAGCTTAAGGAATTTGGGGGCTCACAATACAAAAGCAAATATGTCTTTAGGCATAGCTTTACCTAGGAACCAAATAATGTCAAGAGACCCCTTTTCTTTCTCTCCATTTTTTGGTATTGTTTTTTTCAATTGTCAACACAATCCTCAGGCCCCATATGGCTACAGGCCCTGTATCCTCTCTCTCATAAGTCTCAGAGAAACTTTCATGGCTTTTCATTGTCTCTAATGGAGCCACATGTCCATTGCTCAGGCATCCATGGTAATCTGGGAATGGAATGATCACTGACTTAAACTAGGTTACCCTTAACCTTGAGCTTAGGGTTGGGGAACAGTTGGTTCTCCAGAGGGAACTTGAAGTATAACTCTTACAAGAAGGGGGAAATAGAGGCTGGAAATGGCCAACAGGTGACCACTACAAAGAGATAAAGAGGGCTCTAACTTGGATCGTTGCAGTTGGAATGGAAGATAGAGGAAAGAAGTAACAGGCATTATGGAGATAAAATCAAATAGATCTCCTGGCTCTGAATGGGGAGAGGAAAGGACACAGAGAAGCCTGAATGCAACCCACATTTTGCGTTTGTGAGACTAGGGTTTGGTAACATCATTAATAAAGATTCAGGATAAAGTAGGAGGAACAAATTTACGAAAGGAGGAAAGCGTTTTGTTGCTTTCTCATCCCTGTTTTCATTAATAAAATTGTTTCCAGCTTCTCAAAGCTCAAGAAGAATTGAGTTCTGCAAGAGACAGGCAAATTCTCCCACCAACCACTTATTCTCAGAAGACTTGTCCCCGCAGTTCTCAAGAGCTTTATCTCCAAGCCCCCGTGTGAGAGAATCAGACTGAAATTTTTCTCTCAGTAGTTTGAATTTCCTTTGGTTGAGCTACCAGCATCCACAGCATAGAAAACCTTTAGAGCCGAGTTGTCTTTTCTTGTGGAACATTTCCACATGAGTGATTTAGGATAGTAAGACCATCTTCTAACGCACTGTGGGTTAGGCTTAGAGAAACATGAGATGCTCATCTATAGAACTCTAGCAAATGCCTTGTCAAATTATGAAGTGAGAAATTTAATTGTTAATGGATCAGGATGCAAGAAAGGAGTGAAGACAAGCACTGAATGATAAAATGACTGTGCAGATGTAGTAGTCTGCATTTTTTGAGCGTTTACTATTGTCCAGGTACTATTCAAAGTTTTCCACATATAATAATAAGTCATTTAATCACCACAGCAACTCCTTGTGGTGTGTACTATTATCTCCATTTTACAGATGCAGAAACAGATGTAGGAAGGTTATGTACCTTGCTGAAGGTGCCACAGCTAGTAAGTGGAACTAGAACTCAAATACAAACTGTCTGACTCAAGGACCTGTCCTCTTAATAAACTGATTGTATGTTCCAGAACTGCCCAAGACCATTGTAATTTATGCCTATTGTCTTGGCATAAATATAAGTATGAACTCTAGAAAGTGTCCCCATTTGGACGATAAATTATGAACACCATTTCCCTTAACTACGATATTTTGCTTATTCAAAGCCAAGACAAATCTAGTCTGGACAACACAGGCAGCCAAGTGATTAGGCTGTACCTCCTGTCATAAGAGGGGTACAATTTGGATTAAATATGACTATTTGGTAATCACCCAGTTTGCCCTAATAATGAAACTAGCTGTATGGGTTGGTATAGGTTTCGTTTTAACAAACCAATCACTCTGTTCTCTGACGACTCCTAAGGCTCTGTTTTATGCTATAATAAAGTTGCCAGTGGCCATGGTCTGACTCTTTCTGGAATGGTTTTATTTATGCCTTAACATTTGGCCCCTCCAGGTTTCCCCGGACCTCCAGAATGAAGTGCTGATCAGCTTGCTGGAGACCGATCCTGATGTGGTGGACTATTTACTCAGAAGAAAGGCCTCCCAATCCTCGTAAGTATGCCAGTTTCTAAAGCTGCTTGGAGATTTCTGTTTCCATTTCTAAAGAATTAGAAAGGTTTACATAACTCCATGCAGGGTGACTTGAAGTGGAATTTGGGCAACTGGCACAGCTGATCAGTCCACCTAGCTAGAAACTGCTTCAGTCTTACCAGTCCACTTATTGAATTACAAACTGCTTTACAGGATTTCTTCATTTTCATTTTTGCCTTTTTCGAGTCCCTGGAGGTCCTTTTGATTGTGTTTATCAGGAAAAAAGCACCAAATCTCTGGCAAGAAGCTCAAGGGCCTGACTATGAAGCACATCAATGATTCTCCTTCCAGAATTCTGATAACTGCTCTTAGGGGCCCGTAAGGCTGAGCCTGCATGAATCTTATATGTGTAATTTACCAGCATGAATGATGCATTACCAAACCACAAGACAGGCCTCAGCCAAGGCCTAGGTGCCCATTTGAAATTAGAGGTAGGCACCCTCTTGACCCCCCTGCCCTTCATAGCTAGCATCCTTTCGATAAAAATACATGGTGGTCTCCACATGCACCCATGGTTGCAATGAGTCAAATGCAATCCATGCTGTAGGCTATGGTTTGCCACCATTTTTGCCCCCAAAGTAGGAGCACTACATTTTTGCATTAGTCAGATTTTATGGTTAATTGCAGTCATTTGCTACAGAAGCTGAGTATATGGGGGGTACTGAGCATTTGGCAAATCCAGTTAAGGGGATAATATTGCATTGTTACTAAGAGCGATGTTGCCACCATGACACCAACCCTTACATTTGTGACAGGAAAAGTTGTTACCCTCTCATGAAAGTATTATTTATGTTGTGCTTTTAACATATCGAATTTCAACAATTCTAAGACACATTTTCCCAATGTTTTATCATCCCTGAGGATGAGATTCACCTTGTAGTCAATGGCATGTCCTAGTTTAATTCATAGCTTTTTTTTTCTTAATCGTATGTGAAATAATGGTATGTCCTATTCAGTAATATCTTAGAAACATTAACACATGTTAAATTGTTCCCTTACATTGATGCCAAATTTGATGTGTTAATTTTCATTTAAAACTATTTCATATACAAAAATATATTCTTTAGAGAAATTTGGTGAAAAGGAATTCTGCATTGTTCAGGCCTCCTTTCCTGGGTCATTACGTTAAAAGCCCTGCTAAATTCAGCTTCACACCATCTCCTGCAGAGCAGGGAAGAATTTTTAATTGGCTCATCCTTTCAAGTACACTTTTGAAAATCCATCTCTATGCTGATCATTATCAGGCCAAATTCTGGTTCAAGTAAGACATTCTGCCTGGATTCAAGCACCAAGAGCCACAACTGAATAAAAGTATGCTCAAATTATATAAAATTGGCTGACATTTCATGGTCTTGCTTTTCATATCAGAGAATTAGGTTCACTTAAAATTTTCCTCGAGTTTTAACTGTCATCAAGGTGGAAGTTCTAATTTAAAATAGCAAATGGCTTTTCTTCACAGTGTAACTTGCATCACCAGAATTTTAATGAACTCACTTATTTCCCTCCTCTGTGCAAGAAAACAGACATGACGGCATTTCTATTTGTGAATCCCTCATTAAGCTGCATTTATAACATTTCATGGGTACTCTGCAGGAAAGCTACAAAGCACACCTAAAAAACCACTTATTTTTGACTTGCCAATTTTCTGTTATTATATGGCATTTGAAAATATATAAGCACCATACTTTGAAGAATGGTTGATAATAGTTATTTGTATGTGTTTTGCAAGTATGTTCTTTGCATATAAATGCCAGAAAGTGAACCTTTTATTCTTTACTCTTAGGAAAATGAAAAAGTGTACATATTAAGCCCATCCCAAGCTGTACAATTGTCTTGCCTCTTCTTTTCACTATCTCTGTGAAAATAAGAATTGTAAGGTCTAGGCAAGCTTACCCTAGACCATGATCTTAAGTGAGTGTCAGGGCCTCAAGGAAAAAGAGGTGAGCTCGTGGGAGCCCTGTGGATGTCAGAGACTAGCATTATCAAACAGAAAATATTTGAAGAAGACTTAGTAAGTAGGAGAAGAGAGTGTTTGTTTTTTCCCCTCTAGGTATAGGCCAAGGAGCATCCCAGAAAGTTGATAATATCATAAAGAAAATATGCATAAATTAATAAATAGATATTTATTTTTAATGACCTTTTGAGGCTTGAGAATCCTATCCTTCAAATCTATTCATGCCTTAAATGCGTGCTTCTCAAACTTTATTGTGCATACAGATCACCAGGGGGATCTCGTTAGAATGCTCTTTCTGAATCAGTAAGTGTGGGGGAGGGAACTTGAGAGTCTGCGTTTCTCACAAGCTCCAGATGATGCTGTGGTGCTTCTGGTCTGTGATCCACACTTTGAGGAGTGAAAGCTTCGTATATCAAGGCATCTTCTTTTTTTTAAGTCAAGGTGCATCTACAATATGATTTCAAAGAGAGGAAGGGAGAGGGAGAGAGAGACAGAAATATCAACCATGAGAATCATTGATCCGCTGCCTCCTGCACGCCCCTACTGGGGATTGAGCCCGTAATGCAGCATGTGCCCTGACGGGGAATTGAACCAGGATCTCCAGGATCATAGGTCGATGCTCAACTGCTGAGCCACGCTGGCCGGGCTCAAGACATACTCTTGACTTTAAGAGCTTGCAAACTTGTTGAAGGAGGCCTACAAGGGTAAAAATAATAGGAGGTGTGTGATTAAGGATGTCACAGAGTACAAAAGGGTATGTGCTAGGGCATCGGTTCTCAGACTTGCCTGCCCAATATGAATCACCTGGGGAGCTTAAAGAGCAGCTATGCCTGGCCACCACCCCTAGATATGCTCACTCATTTGTTTTGGGGTACAGTCTGGACATTAGGATTTTTAAAAGCTCCCCATGTGATTCTACTGAGCAGTCAGGTGTAAGAATCTCAGGCTTAGATCCACCACAATAGATACTACATATTTATTATCCCAGTGGGTGATTTTTGACATTAAAAAGGGGTCTTTGTGTTGACAAAGGAAGGGAACCAATGTTCTATACCATAAATCCATGATAATGATAAATTATAGTTGTGACAAATTATAGTACTCCAACTGCCAGATGGTGCTTGCTACATTGGTATGTCAATTATTGATCAATAGCACACCCCTGTACAGTGTAACACGCTGTTTACAAGCTCTGGATCCAGAGTCAGATCGCCTGAGTTCAAATTTTAGTTTTACTGCTATTAGCTATGTGGTCTTAGATAAATAAATTCATCTCTCACTGTCTCAGCTTCCTCATCTATAAACTATAAAAACTTTATAGATTTGTGCTATTAGAATAGTATATATTTTTTTATGAATGCTAATGATTACTATCATGTTACTTCAAATTTCACCATTACATTCATTTACAACTACTTACCAAAGACTTAAGCATCACTCAGTTTTACCTTGCTCCCCAGGAGATAGCAACCTATGCAGGTAATATGGCACAAGAGAGACTCCATCCACGTTAAGCAGCGCAGTGTGTAAAGGCAGCCCGCCTGCACATGCCGGATCCAATTGGCATCAGGATGATGGTGCTGGTTCTGGAACAGAGAGAGGGGTGAGGGTAAAAAGGCACTGAAGTGGGGCCACAACCTGCTCACACTAGGCCAGGTAGATTTCAGAAGGGACTGGAGGTGATTGCACATTTGCAGGTGATGAGGGAAGAGGGCCTGGTCAAGTCCTGGCATAATGAGAATGGTTAGAATCTTGTTTCGAAGGCTTTGTGTAGGAAAAACTCAGCTAAAAGTTGGAGAGCTAAGCTCTAAAAGGTAAGAATTGAAAGGATGTGTGAGAATACGACAGTGGGAAGCAACAGCGGCTTCTAAAATGACGGCCTCAGCGCAGTGATGCGCAGTCTTCCTCGTTGTTCTCTCCCGGCCCTTCGTTGTTGTTTTTCCAGAAGCATCTGTTCTTTGCCGTCAGTTCACATATACCTAAAAAAGGCCTCAGATTCCTGTGCCCCACATGGAAACTGCACAAGGTTTTATTTGGCGTGGAAAAGTAACTTTTCAAGAGTGTAGAACCAAGAAAAAGAATGTATTTATTATAACTTCTTTCTTGAAAGTTCAAACATTTAGTGATACTTGGGAAGTTAATGTTTTGTTTTGGTGTGAATTTTTCTCTTCTTTATGCAACAGTAGAAAAAGGATTCGTTATTTTTTTTTCTTCTGCTTGTTTACTTACATTTTTGGCTTTAACCAAAACAGAATGCCAAAGGGAGAGAAGAAGAGATTTATATTACCAACAATGCAATACTTTAGGTTTTCAAATTGCTTGTCTGGTATATTTATTAGAATGATTTGCTATTTTCTTCAAAGATACTTAAAATAAACCCCTCTCCTTTGATTTAGGGATGTAAGGAAATAAGGAATGGTAATGGAAGGTAAATCAAAGAGGACAAGGTACATTGAATGCAGGTATTTGCAACAGAACAAAGGTGCCATATCAGCGCTGGGACCAGGGTGAGCAAAGGGAGGCAGGCACTCACCTAGGTGCAAAATTTAAGGGTATGCTAAAAAACTCATCAAAATAAACAATATTGAAATATAATATTTTTTAAATCAAAATTAATACCAAAAATCTATTATGAACAAAATATCAAAACATTTTAAAAGACGAGTGTCAGGCCAAGCTATACTGGAGCCTGAAGCAAAAGGTGCCCCTGGCTTAAGTGAAAGCAAGTCATCAATGTTCTACAAATATATTTCTTCGTTTATCGTATTTTCAACTGAGAGGACTGCTCTGTTTGACAATTTTTCTGGGCCAAGCGCCAGTCTTAAACAATTTTTAATTAAGTTAACCAAATTAAAATAATAACAAAATTCTGTTTGGGCATAAATAAAGCTTTTAAACTTAATATAATGTTGTAAGTTGTAATACACCTACTTTTCAATTTTTCAACGGCTTTAATGTTCTGGGAAAAATAAATCATTAAAGAATTAAATAAAACCATAGATACCTA